GACGGCGATACGTAACGCAGTAGTTGACCGGGCATGGACTGGACGTCGATATGTAACGCAGTACCATTGCCTTGAGGATAAGGACACCGGACGCCGATACGTAACGCGGTGATTCCCTAGTAATAAGTATGTAAGTTAAGGCAGTAGTAGAGAACTTCTATGATTTAAGGATAAAAGTTGAGAACCTCTATGAGTTAAAGTTGAAATGAGTTATTAAGGATGGAAGTGAGAACGACTTTCATCTAAGGAAAGGAAATGCTAATAACGTGTTTTAGTAAGGAGGTTGCTTAGGGCAAGACCTTAGGAAGTAATGACGAGACTGACCCCTTCTCACTCACCAGGTTGAGGAAGGGTTAGCAGAGGTGGACCCCGAGAAGGAGCAAGGCAAGGCGAGCAACCGCACCAGCATTGACGAGGTGTCAAGAAGCTAAGCGAGGAGTTATAGTTTGTTTAGTCAGTTGTGTTTATGATTATGAGTATAACTGGAGGTTCAAAGGTTGAGGTTTATTAACTAAGCATTTGAGTTTTGCCCACGTGTTTAGGGCATTGCATTTGACGTTTTCCTTGGGAATGTTTAAGTTGTATTTAAGTTTTAAGCTTTGTTTTTAACCGGCTCCGGAGCCATGATTATTTTGGTTGTTTAAAAGGATCAGGGTGTTTCATAAGGTGTTAGCAGTTAATAGGTAGTTGAGGATAAATAGGGTATTGAAAATATAATTAATATTAACAATCGATTGTTCTCTTTCTCTTTCCTCCCATAATTTTCTCCATAACCCTCTCTCTCCACTACAATTAAAAGGAAATCTGAAATTAATTTAAATAAATTTTAATATTTAATAAAATTCAAACTTAATAATTTTTCCTCATTTTAAAAAAAAATTAAAAATTAAAAATCCGCTCTCTCACTTTGTGCCAACTTGCAATGTAGTATTAACATTTTGCAATAACATTATTAACGTTTGTGAAATAAATCATTATTATTATACCTTATCATTATTAATGATTTCAATATACATATCGATTCTTTACAATTATATTATTAAATTTTTTGAATCAATCGTTACCGTTTGGCATTTTCATCATCAAAGTTTATGAATGAATTATTGATTTACAACATATATACTAATGATTCACAATATCATTGATTCACAACATTATCATTATTGATACTATTAGTAATGAGCTCCCAAAATGTTGTCATTAATTGTTTATTAGACTTATTTGGTGATTATATTTAACATTGTCAATTTTTCATTAATTAGTAACGTCATGTCATGTGTGCACATATAGTATTCATTATCAAATGTTTAATAATCGTTATTATCAACTTTTACATGAATTGTTAATAAAACTCCTCATGAAGTTATTAGTTTTATACTTTAGGGTGCGCCTACGGTGACATGCATGTCACGGTGACTTGCACTTTTCGGTCGACCTCAGTTAGGATTAGGTCGACCTCATGTAGGATTAGGTCGACCTCATCGGTTGTTTCAGTGTAGAAACAGTTTCATGGTGCCTACTTTGGAGATTCATATCTTACAATTGGCTCGATGGAAATTAGAGATTAATGCCTTGTTTTGAATGGGGTGTCCCTCTACACATTGAAGTGCTTGGGAGCTCGATAGGAAGTCCAGAAGACCTTTTTTGAACTTGATCAAAAGGCTATGCCAAAACTGGGATTCGGGCGAAAAATTTCCGGGCCAAATTTTGCCAGATTCCAAAGGGGTACCATCACCGATTTCGGGCGATTTATTGGAAAGGCCATTTACCTTGGATTTTGAAGGCGATGGATCACAGATTTGGCCTTAGGGTACTCTCCACCAACGATGAAGTCTAGTAATGGCCGATTTGGGTAGAAATTTGGTTGAATTTTTATGGAGGGCATTTTCGTAATTTTTAGGCGATATTTTTGAAAAGCAATTTTCCTTAGATTTTGAAGGGTGAAGATCACGGATTCAGCCTGAGACTATTCTTTAGGGATGAATTTTGTGCCCGAATCGGTGTTTAATAGACTTATTCATCCCTAAAGAATAGTCTCAGGCTGAATCCGTTATCTTCACCCTTCAAAATCTAAGGAAAATTGCCTTTCAAAAATATCGCCTAAAAATTACGAAAATGCCCTCCGGAAAAATTCGACCAAATTTCTGCCCATATCGGCCATTACTAGACTTCATCGTTGGTGGAGAGTACCCTAAGGCCGAATTTGTGATCCATCGCCTTCAAAATCTAAGGTAAATGGCCTTTCCAATAAATCGCCCGAAATCGGTGATGATACCCCTTTGGAATCTGGCAAAATTTTGCCCGGAATTTTTTCGCCTGAATCGGTGTTTTGGCATAGCCTTTTGATCAAGTTCAAAAATGGTCTTCTGGACTTCCTATTGAGCTCCTAAGCACTTCAATGTGTAGAGGGACACTCCAGTTTCAAAACAAGCTATTAATTTCCAATTTCTATCGAGCCAATTGTAAGATATGAATCTCCAAAGTAGGCACCATGAAACTATTTTTACACTGTAACAACCGATTAGGTCAACCTAATCCTAAATGAGATCGACCTAATCCTTCGAGCACAAGCAAGTTGCCAGAAAAACAGCCTTCGTAGCAACTTCGACCCTTTTGTTTGAAGCCTTACAGATTCCAATCTTTCATCCAATGCCTTGACTTTTTATAAAAACATACCTAATTTAACGTGGTAGAGGCCCCTGGACTCGATGCGCATCCATTCTTCTCGAATTGAGTTCCAAAGTAGGCTACACAAACACGTTCCCAGACTTACCCATTTTCAGGCAGTTTCCAAGTTTTGGCATAGGCTTTTGATCAGGTTCAAAAATGGTGTTCTAGACTTCTTATTGAGCTCCCAAGTACTTTAATGTGTAGAGGGACACTTCAGCTTCAAAACACGCCATTGATCTCCAATTTCCATCTAGCCAATTGTAAGATATGAATCTCCAAAGTAGAGACCATGAAACTGTTTTTACACTGAAACAACAGATTAGGTCGACCTAATCCTATATGAGGTCGACCGAAAAGTGCATGTCACCGTGACATGCATGTCACCATAGCAATCATATACTTTATTATCAATGTTTTTGTATTTAATAAAACTGTGTTAGTCACCTTTAATAAGAACACACTAAATCATTGATAAAGACTATATTTAATTGAAAATAAATATTTTTGTATTCAATAAAAACATAATGTTTTGGTTCTTTATGTTTTCTTTATCAATAAATTTGGGTTACATTATTAACGGTTTGTTGCATCTCTATCAACCTAGGAGCATATGTTTTCCAATTTGGACGTTAGGTTTATAAACTTCTTGATAAAGTTTACTATTTGTTTTTATTGTTGTTATCAACGTTTATGAAACAATGTCCAACAATGACACCATCAACTTTTATTGGTTCATTGTTATCATTTATCAATCCAAGGTACTGCTATCAACTTTTTTGCTATGAATTTTGAACGATTTACAAAAACGTTATCATCCTCTCCTAAATCATTTTTTGTTGTTTGTTAATGGGTTTAGGTTCATTGTTAACAATCTAATGTAATGTTATCATCGTTGGTGTAATGTACATTTTTATTAACGTAATAAAATATTTAAGGTTCTAATCATTATAGCCGAGCATTATCAATTTTTTGCTGAATTATTAATAAAATATAGTTACATTATTAACAATTTAAAATATCGTTATCTATTTTTAAAATATCATGATATCAAATGTTATTTGTTAATGTACCATGATATCACGTAGATGTTACAACATACAATTTCACTTTCACGTTAAAAACGTTAAGAAATTCCAACCAAAATGTTGTTAAAGTATATCATTACTAATAGTATTAAAATCGTTATAAATTCACCTAAAACATTTATAATTTCATTTTCAATGAAATGGGAACGTCACGTTTACGTTTAAAACGTTAAGTAACTCTCATCAAAACGTTAACAACGTGAAAGTATATAATTACTAATAGTTTCAAAACGTTTAACAATTGAAATAAAATAAAATATTTACAATTTTGTCATGTAATGTTAATAGTGAACACTGTCAACTTTTGATGTATCATGATATTAGTTGTTGTTTGTTTGTCGAAACGTGTGAGTCGTCTTTGGGAGCTCATTACTAATAGTATCAATAATGCCAATGTTGTGAATCAATGATATTGTGAATCATTAGTAAATATGTTTTATATCAATGATTCATTCATAAACGTTGATGATGAAAATTTAAAACGGTAACGATTGATTCAAATATTTTAATAATATAATTGCAAAGAAGTAATATTTATATTGAAATTGTTAATAATGATAAGGTATAGTAATAATGATTTATTTCATAAACGTTGATAATATCATTGCAAAACGTTAATACTACATTGCAAGTTGTCACGAAGTGAGAGAGCAAATTTTTAATTTTTAGTTTCTATTTGAAAAAGAAAAAAAATTATTAAGTTCGAATTTTATTAAATATTAAAATCTAATTAAATTAATTTCAAATGTTTTCTTTTAATTGTAGTGAAGAGAGAGAGTTATGGAGAAATCCATGGGAGGAGAGAAAAAGAAAATAATAAATTATTAATATTAATTATATATGCATAATACCTTATTTATCATAACTCCTTATTAACTACCTAATCTACTATCAACTAATAGAATGACTTGAACAATATGCTTAAATCTATAGTCGGTTATAGATTTAAGCACCGAATCCTACCTGACGAATATACACTATCCGCCTCAACCGACCCCTCCCGTCCCGACCCGTTGCCAAGGTACCGCTCCACTCCCATTTTGGACGAGACAACTGGAAAGAAATACACAAGTTGGAGCAGAGCAGGAGAAGGCGCTAGAAATTTGGTTGGAGAGTTAATAAGACCATCTTCGTGAAGAGGTGGATTCGGTCGGAAGGTTCTTTGTATTTCTTCTTTGCATATATAAAAGAGGAGAAAGATGAAGAGTCTTCTTTCCTTTCTACCACCTCCAATCCAACCCATAACAAAGATTCGACAAAGGTAGAAGCTGAAACGGAGAAATGAAAGATCCCAAGTACGCCCATCCTTACCCTGCTCAAGGTTCCTCCTTCCTCAATCCCTTCAACCCTCTTTTCGTTTTCACTTTCTATTTTTCTTCTTACTCTCCTTTCCAGAGTACTTCTCCAAATCAGAAGCTCTGATTCGGGGGTTGGTTACACGGTTGCAGGGTATTACCAAGGGCCGCCGGTGATGCCACCGCCGCAGTACGCCGCTCCACCGCCGGGGAGCCAGCCTGGCTTCCTTGACACGTGGTAAGTATCAGACTTTCGAATTCATTACCAACTTTTTTTTAAAAATACCTTCTCTAACTTTGTTTCCCCTGTTTCCGGTGGATGAATCAAATCAATTCCCCTGTTTTGGGTTGACAAAAGTCTGGCCGCTCTTTGCTGCTGCTGTCTCCTCGACGCCTGCTGCGACCCACTCTTCTGCTTCCTCATTTAATCCGTTTCACAAATTTAAATTAAGTTCCCTCCCAAACCCAGTCCCCGCCATGTGTAATTTGATTTTGCTACGTAGTCCTATCCTCTGTAATTTGGCGAGGACGCTATGAGTGTTCTTCACTTTCTCATAATATTCTAGAGTTATGTTTCTTTGCCTAGGGGGTTTCTAGTGTGCCAATAAACCATGTATATGATGGAGCCAATTCGTTATGTTTGAACAATATGACCTGTTATCTTTTGTTATGGCTCTTGAGTATCCCCTAATTCTATCTATAAACTTGAGTATCAGCTATTCAACTTTCAACAAGAACAGAACAAAATTCATCAGATTTGAGCAATGTCAAATTCCACAGTTCAATAACCCCTAAATTATTACCATGGTAAAAACTAATAAAAAACCTATTAAGTCTACATTTTATTAATCACGGAATAAAATGTCCTAACACGAAAACCAAATTAACCAAACCAAAGTTAAATTGGTTTGGTTAATTGGATAATTGAATTAACCAAATAACATAATTACATGAAAGCAATTATCATTTAAATGCATAAAACATAACCATATATTGTTTCTATCATAAACTATCATTATATATAAGCAAATAATAATAAAACTAACCATCCATGATTATCATCATCATTCAAGTTAATACATCATTCATTATTTCTGCACCTAATATAGTTAGTTTACAACAAACCCATTAACATAAATGCATACTAATACTCCTCATCACAAAGTTAAAACTCTCTTACAAAACACTTAAACTATAAATAGTTTGAGGTGACTGTCATGGTATTCTACGTAATTCTAAAGTCTAGTAGTTGTCCAAAATATTTTGGTTTAATATATAGGCAGACCCATTTAATTTTTTACCAATAATGTTTTGGTTTGTTGTGCACCTGTAAATAAATTAGGAAATCACGAAAGTTTGGTTTGGTTGGTTGCATGGAAGTATAAATAATTTTGTATATTAGGTGTATCATTAATTGGTTTCATTGGTTAGCAGCGTTGAAACGAAACCAAACCACCTAAACCAAATAAGCTAAATTGTTTAACCAAACCAAATTAATTATTCAAATTAACCAAACCAAATTAATCGAATGCTACTGATTAATATGGTTACCACGGTAACTAATCCGTTTGAACACCCCCTATCAATAACTACTTTGAACTCAGTGGTCCCATCACCCATGGCTAGGGCTGCAAACGAGCCGAGTCGAGTCGAGTTTTTGCTTAGCTTGAGCTCGGCTCGTTTATAAAATTTTTAGCTCGAACTCGAATTTTGATCATCTAGCTCGAGCTCAAGCTCGACTCGATTAAAAATAATCTAGCTCGAGCTCGGCTCGATAGAGCTCGGTAAATGCTCATTAACACAGCTTGTCAAGCTGAGTACAAGCTCGGCTCAAGATAAGCTCTATTTGAAACCATTCTTGCTGAAAATGTGTACAAATAAGAACATTAGAAATTAAAAAATGACAAAAAGAACACTAGAAACTAAAATGACATCTAACTTCCATATACATCCTTATTAACAAGATAATTTTTATGTGCATAAGAGTAATTAATCCTTCCACGAGCTTTAAACAAGCCAGCTCGCGAGCATAGCTCAACAAGCAACCGAGTCAAGCTAGCTCAAGAGCTTATCCAGCCGAGCATGGCCTAGCTCAAGCTTGGCTCGTTTACTAATGAATCGGCTCGCGTGCCGGCTTGTTAAACAACGAGTCGAGTGTCAAACGAGTTTTTTTCGATTTGAACACCGAGTTGCTCGCGAGCGACTTGGCTCATTTGCAGCCCTACTGACTACCTCATGACTGATATCTTCCACTAAGAGTTTTAAGGTCAATTTCAGAAACTCCGTATGAAGTCTCGTAATTGGCTACAATAAGTACATCCTGAAAATGGCTACAATAACCTTGTATTCCAATGTAATCAAGAATCGCTTACTCTAACTTCATCTATGGACATTGAAAATTTGGTCAAACAGTTTTTCCAAATCAACTTGAGATTTTCGAGTGGGGAATTCCTAAAAGCCATGTCATGGGCAGTAAAGAGTAGCACACCTTGCCATCCATGAACCACGTTACCATAAGGGTGAAAGCTTTTGGTTATTGTAAAGATTGAGATTAGTAAGCATTTTAACAAAATCCACAAGGACTTCATGCTCATTTGCACTTTCAATATGAGTCTCACATCATATCTGAAACTGGGGGTGTTCAAACGGAGTGATTACCGTGATAATCATTTTAACCGGTAGAATTTGGATAATTTGGTTTGGTTAATTTGGATAATTGGCTTGGTTAAATTTTTTAGCTTGTTGGGTTTAGGTGGTTTGGTTTGGTTTGGTTTCAGACACTGCTAACCAATGAAACCAAATTAACCAATTAAGTAATTAACCATATATTTAATATATATTATATACACATACTTAAAACTTTGCATAACCACTAAAGAGTCAAATGCAAGATAATTGTACTTGTTACATGTATTTCTGTTAAAAGTTAAATATAATTATGTGTTGATAGTTATGTATTGATGCACTAACCGGAAAATTTTCTCATTTAATGATAATATGATGTTATTTTGGTTAACCAATTAACCAAACCGATTAAACTTAGTTTGGTTAATTTGGTTGTTGTATTAGTTTGGACGGTTTGGTTATGATATTGTATTCCATGGTTAATGAAATTTGGACTTATTTGGTTTGGTAATTACCATGGTAACCATTTAAACACCCCTACCTGAAACTATATGACTGTCTTTCAGTGGGAAAACTCACATTTAATTGAATTAATGTGCTTTGACATTTTAGGACATCAACTACTAAGACAAGATTCAAGCCTCTTTGAACACAGTTCAAATATGGATGTTTAATTGATGGGTTTTTCGGAACAGAACTAAATTAAATTATTTCTACTATTATGGAGGTACAATGAGAGTTTCACACTACGTCTATGGCTACTTGTAAAGAAAAGGATATAAATTTGACGTAGGCGTCCATTATTTGGTTTTGGGAACTCTTATCTATGTTGACCTCCCCTCTCATTTATAGGCATGGGGTAACTGTCTAGAAAACCATTTGTTGGGTAACCCTCCAAAAAGAATTGCTCCCATCTTCCTCGAAGATGGGATGAGTAGCAATTGCTCCCTCAACCGCTGGTTTGTGATGTCAGCTTCACAATTTATAAGCTCGAATGTCAACTATACTAAGTACTCTAACATAGGACAAGTACATCCTAAGTTGGCGAAGCAGTAAAGTGGTAACCCTCGCGGTATTCCAGGGTCATCGGATTTATTGCTACTATCATGCTTAATTATTGCCTAATCTAACAGTTGAATTGGGAGCTATTTCGAAACTACTACCGCTACTAAGTTGCAATTGACTTGTTCGAGAGAGAGATACTTGGGGCTATTTTCCCTTACCTATTAGATTAGGTCAGGTATAGGCATAAACGAAACACTCTCTTCCATCATGATGTCTCCTAGAGCACTCATGGTCGACTTCTCAGCTCAATGGTCATGCAACTGACAAATCTTTAGGGCTGTAAGATTGGATTCATACGAGGGTACACCCAAGTGCAAACATGACTTCAACGCAAAGTGTTACAGTATTAAAATCATGCATCACTTGATGTGGATTCTAGGCATAATCTAGGGGGTAGTCACCACAACCTAGGTTAACAACATGCACTAGTTACCTCTATCGAAGCAAGATAATGACATTGATAGAAACCCAAATTTCGAGCTTCTATTGTTCTCTAGGGATTAGGAAAATGGATCGATCACCGAGGAGATGATCTACTCGATTGATAGGAGATTAAAGGAAAGGAAGAAGTTTGAGAAATGAGGAGAGGGGGAAGAACAGAGGTTTCGAGGTGGGAAGAGTGGTGATTTTCGACATGGAGAAGAGAGAAGAGAGGATTAGGGAAACTGAATTAGGTTTAATCTTACTTAGTGGGTAATTCTCACTTACAATAATATTTATATAATCAAAGAATCCCTCAACGCTACCCCAAATTATTACTCTTTCTCAAATGACCCTTATAATAACCCCGACTAGTCATAAGAAACATAAACTGACAAAATAGTTCATATAATGAAATAGTAGAAATGCAGGTTTCGATCATCCCCACCTTCTTCGGAACAACCTTGTCCTCAAGGCTTAACTTCCGCCTTTGGATCGTCTGTTCCTGCCGTTACTTCATCCTCCGACTCATCCTCCCAGCGACCGACCAGCATCATCAAGTCTGGTTTCGCACACTGGTGAACGATCGTGAACCTCTCATTGGAGTTAAAACACTTGACTTCACGCCTCTTCTGCTCGATTTCCGCCGGAGATAGCCGCACAAAGCCCTTCGGTGGTGCTCTTGGTCCGGGGTGAGTCACTGCTACGGTGGCGGTTAGTCGTCGTTCCTCTACCTGAACTCACCACGGCCGAAGCCCCTCCTCCTCCATTGACCGCCATGCTATTTCTTCCTCCTTCGCTAGGCTTTTGGTAGCGGCCTATGGTGCTTTTTCAACTCGCGCTCTCCTCCTCCTTGTAACCTGCAAGACGAAAAGAAAATCTCAAGGATTCCAGCTCAAAGAACCGGCCTTCGGCAGCGATCTCTGGCCTTAGTCCGGCCATACATAGACCCACCAATGTTTCCTCATGCACCCCTTTGCATTGGTTGCTAACTTGAGGAATTTCGCCCTATACTCCGCCACTAACCCTATTTGTCTCAACTTGACCAGCTGCTCCGGTGCCCACCCTTCCGACTTCTCGAATTGGTAACAAAACTCCTCTTGTAACCTTGGCCAGGTAATCAGTGTCCCTGTGGTAGCGTATGACCTCTCCAACCACTCCCACCAATGCAGAGCATCTCTCTCAAGATAGAAGGATGCAAGGTGCGCCTTACTTGACCATTCATGAACCACCTGTCAGCTGCATACAACCACAAGCTTGCGTCCACTTGACCATTCAATCTTGGGAACTCAATGGTTAGATCCCTAAGTGTGCTAATCAGCAAAAAAGATTGCAACCCCCAACCTAACAGCAGGTAGAGGAAGGAAGAGTTCCATTAGGACCTTCATGAACCCAAGCATCACCAACCTTCATCAATCATCACAACTCCATTACAAACCTTGAACACTCAAGCAAAAATTAATTTCAGGCCTCTTGAATCTTCTAGTTACCCATTTTTTGCTTGATTGTCGTTGGTTGTCATTTCCCTTGTCAAATGATGTTGATTTTGTCCCAAACATGCTATATATGAACCAGCAATTAAGAAGGTAGGCAAGATACTAAATAGAAAGTGTTGCAATCAATGTCC